TTTTGCCATGACCGCCATCTTCTTGCTCATAATCTCGTGCCTCGTTCACGTCGGGTCCGCGGCCCTCTGCGCCGGCCTCACGCCCTACTCGTACGAATTTGCTATCAAGAACAATGCGCAGTTTGCGCCAGCAATCAACGAGCTCAAAAAATACCCCGTCGCTATGTGGTACGCCGACAGTGGCGGCAGCGATGCCATTGGTGCGCTCCTTGAGGCCTGTCCTACGGACACACCGGTCATTGTCGTCTACGGTCTGCCCGGGAAGGACTGCGCGGCCGGCTACTCGGGCGGTGGTGCCAACTACAACGGGGACCTCTACAAGGCGTGGCTCCAAAAGCTCACAAGCCAGGTTGGCAACCGCAAGGTCATCTACATTCTGGAGCCCGACGCCGTCGGTCTCCTTGCCAACAACAACTGCGCGACGCAGAACGGGTATCTCGGCAACCTCCAAGCAGCCGTCCAGATTCTGTCGGCCAACGCCAACGCGCAGATCTACGCGGATCTCGCGTCGTGGGCCATCCAAGACAAGGCCGTCGCGATTCTCAAGAGCCTCGGCAAGGTCACGGGTATTGCCATCAACACGTCTGGTTATCATGCAACCACCGAGATGAACCAGATCTGCGAGTCGTACTCCAAGCAGACCGGCGGCCTCCACTGCATCATTGACACGTCGCGCAACTTTAACGGGTCACCGCAGAACGAGTGGTGCAACGCGCGGTCGGGTGGCATTGGCGCGTCCCCGACGGCGCAGACGGGCAACCCGCTCGTCGACTACTACCTCTGGATCAAAGTGCCGGGTGAGTCGGACGGGCAGTGCTACGGCCAGTCGGGCGATGCGATGATCGGTCCGGGCGCCGGTCAGTTCTTTGCAGACGGCTTTAAGTCCCTCTGGGACCAGGGCTACTTCGTCGCGCATGGCTTTCCCAAGATCGGTCAGAGCGCGGGGTCGCCGACGATGGCACCAACTTCGACGCCGGCTCCGACAACAAAGACTCCGTCGCCATCGACGCCCCAGCCATCGGCAGCCCGTACTGCGACCCCCGCACCTTCGACGTCGAACCCGTCAGTGCCGACGGCGTCGCGACGGGGTCAGTGCGGTGGTATTGGGTATTTGGGACCCATGCTGTGCAGTGGAAGCTATATCTGCACGTTTGTAAACGCCTACTACTCGCAATGTCTGTGATTTCGTCCTTACGATCGATCACGAATAGTGCAGTCGACTCGGGAATGGCATGAGTGTAACTTGATGAAACGGCAAAGGATAAAAAAAATCATGCGGAATGCATCGATGGCACGGTTAGATAGATTTAACGGACTACAGCAACAACAACGAGCCAGTGATTGTCTACTTGGGGAGGCATTGCGAGAACCACGGGTTGCTCGGGACGCAATGGTCACCCGGCGTGCACTCGGTGCTGCCCGTGTAGTACACGCCACCGCACTGGCCGAAGCGAAGCACTTGGCCCTTGTTGCTTGAGTTGGGCATGCACTGCGAGTATGTCAACGAGAGGCTCGTGCACTGGAACCCGTTGATGCACTTGGTGTTGCCGCTGTAGCCGGCGCCACCGCATTGCTTCCAGCCTTGGATCGGATCGTTCGGGTTCACGGACGGGCTTGGAGTCGGGTTCGCCGATGGGCTGGGCGACGGACGAGGCGACGGGTTGGGCGACGGGTACATGGTTGGCGACCCCGATGATGGGCTGGGGCTTGGGTTTGGGTTCGGGTTGGGGCTCGGACTGGGGCTGGGGTTGGGGCCAGGACCCGGCGCCGCGCCGCTGAGGTTGACGCAGTTCTTGTAGACTTGCCACTGCGGCGAGTGCAGCGCGAGCCAGAGCATCGTCAGTCGCTT